ATTTTTTTTTTTTTTTGAGACAGAGTTTTGCTCTTGTTGCCTAGGCTGGAGTGCAATGGTGCGATCTTGGCTCACTGGAATCTCCACCTCCCGGGTTCAAGTGATTCTCTTGCCTCAGCCTCCAGAGTAGCTGGAATTACAGGCATGTGTCACCACTCCCAGCTGATTTTTTGTATTTTTAGTAGAGACAGGGTTTTTCCATGTTGGTCAGGCTGGTCTCGAACTCCCTACGTCAGGTAATCTGTCCACCTCGGCCTCCCAAACTGCTGGGATTACAGGCATGGGCCACCATGCCTGGTCACATTTCCTAAATTTTACTGGCCTGCCATGTGAGGAAACTTAACTTTCACCCCTTAACTCTCGTGCCAACTCTCCCTCTAGAAGTCATGCTCTGAATTGGACAGGCCTTCTGGAACCAAAGGGCTGCCATCACCCAACTTCAATATTTAATACTGCCTGGAAACTTCTGCTCTAGTTCTTTATTCATTCTCTGGTTCTAACCTGCTTTCTGGTTCCAGTCAAATTCTTGTCCCCTCTCTCCAGGTGACAAATCACACACCAGCTTTGCTGTCGTGACCAGTCACTCCTCATCACTGTTTTGTTCTAAAGTCTCTTTTCTTCTTGTCTAGTCTGGACTTGAAGTCCCAGCACTCCTCAGTTGAGCCTGTCAAGGTTATAGCATTAAGCTAATAACATAGAAATTCCTTAAAAGTGCAGCATTTTTCTATCCTGTCATTTAACTTCAAGTCCTTCTTGTAGTCAGCCTCAAGTTGGGACGTAACTTGTAATTACAAAAGGAAGTTGCTAGGATCATAATGCGTAGATATTATATTATGGAACATAGAAGCATTGCTGTGGTCACAAACACTCATGACAGGTCTTCAAATTCCTGATGTCACCTGCTCTTTTCTTGCTACATACAATATTACGTCATGATAACTTGTTTTACCTTTTTCTCATATACACCATTTCCAAGAGCTTGTCCTGAGGAATCACTCATTTCATATTTCACTGTCCTGAAGAATCGCTCATTCCGTATTTCAGGGATCAGTCGAACGCGTACACTCCACTTTTGAATCAGTCCTCTGTAGTTTCTGTGTGATGCTGAAAGAGTTCTTTCTTTCCTCTGGCATTCTCTCAGCTTTTCCTTTCTGGAAAATTTTTGTAACCACATGTGTACATTTAGTACCTCAGACTCTACTTTAAGTGATAATTTATGGAAAACCAATCCATGTGCATTATGAGTGCCAATGTTGAAAGTCCATGTAATCATATAATTTCAGGATCTGTTTCAACTGGAAAACAGAGAAATCAATCTTTGGTATGCCTGAACAATCCTCATATCCACATTCAGAAGGGGCTACTGAGTGGGAAAAATCATGGCAGCAATCATTTTACCTGCTTCTACTCTTAATATATGAGTGGAGAAATAATTTCTGCTCAAAATTAGGTATGGACATGCTACCTATTCTTCTTGGAAATATTTTAAAAGAGATTCCGCCCACCCATCACATGGCTCTGCAGGATGAGTCATGAGCACTGTAATGCCACCAAAAGGCAGATTCTCACACATTTGCTCATGGACCTCCTGGCTGGACAGATTGGCCTTTCAGATCCATCATGCTTGGTCATGTACCAGTGATGTGCACTTTCCTTGGCACAAGGGCAACGGTGTCACTCCGTTTCTCTTCAGCATCTGACTTCATTTTAGGGCTTCATCCCTTTCCCCTCTCTTTTGCCATCAAATCTTGCTTCAGTCCGTTTCCAAAATCCAATTGCCTGCTTTCCGATGAGGGTTTCCATGGCAACTTCCACTGGTGGCATTGTTGCCTCCGTTGCTCCATTTGGTCTCTGCTTTGTGGCACTAAGCTCTTCTTTCCAGGTTAGACCTAAACGGTTTGAGTTCTCTCTCCAGCCTCTTTGTTCTTATATTGTGCTTGACTTGGGTCAGGTCCTCTCTGAGTTCAATTTCCATATTGTATTTTGTTCTCAGACCAACCAGAGAGAATCAGAATCTATGTCATGTGTTCAAACCCTACCCTCTCACAGAGTACTGGGTTAGCTCAAGGGTCTCCTGCCTGTTGGAAGTGGTGGCCATTACGGTTCCGCCTGGAACACAGTCAGATGAGAGAGGATCAAGCCAATTCCACCCTTCCCCTGCAATATACATGCACACATTCTTAGATCCCACCTAGAAATAATTCTACATGTTAGCTAATGGAAAACTCAATCATCATTTCTTTCTTAGTTTCTTATGTATGTCTTTTTTTTTTTCAGGTACGTTTCTCTGATTGGAAATGTTTATTAGTCATGCACTCCTTAGTGTAAAATGACTTTATCACCCAATGACAAATTGGCAGTCCTGAATAAAGGTAGGAGATTGAGAAGCGGGGGTGTGGGGCAGGAGGTCATTTTTAAATGTAAAAAACTGAGAAACAAAAAAGAGAGATGATTCCATAGGGAGGTGTTCTGAAAACATAAAGATTCTCGAGCTGCAAAACAAGGGGATGGAAAAAAAACTCACCAACCAAATGAAGAGCAAAAATAAATAAATAAAAAGCAGGAGTTGCAATTCTCACATTTAATAAAATAGATTTCAAAGCTACAAGGATGCAAGGGTAAAAGGATTAATGCAACAATAAGAGATCTTAACACCCAGATACATAAGACACATAAAGAGATTTAGAGTCAACGAGACAACAAATTGATAACGATATCCAGGACTTGAACTCAGAGCCAGAACAAATGAACACAATAGAGGTCTCCATTTTAAACACATAAAATATGCATTAACCACTTTAAACACTCAAAATATTGATCGGCCATCATTGAAACCCATTTTAGGAATGAAGTAATATTCCTTTTTCCCTCTTTTTCTTTTTTTTCCCTTCTTTAAAAAAAAAAAAAAAAAAGATGGAATCTCGCTGTCGCCTAGGCTAGAGTGCAATAGCATGATCTTGGCTCACTGCAGCCTCCTCATTGCAGGTTCCAGTGATTCTCCTGCCTCAGCCTCCTGGGTGGCTGGAATTACATGCACATGCCACCATGTCCAGCTAATTTTTGTACTTTTAGTAGAGACAGGTTTCACCATGTTAGTCAGGCTAGTCTTGAACTCCTGACCTCAGGTGATCTGCCCACCTCATCCTCCCAAAGTGCTGAGATTACAGGTGTGAGCCACTGCGCCCAGCCTCATTATTTTTTAATTATTTTTTTTTTTTTTTTGAGATGGAGTCTCACTCTGTTACCCAGGCTGGAAAAAAAAAAAAAAAGATTCTCGAGCTGGAGGAAAGGAGACTGCACTGTGAGGAACAGAGCCTGGCGGTGCTGTTGATAAAGGTAAAAGGACTGATCACCCATTTTGTAGGTTTCTTCAGCACATTGGTGACAGTGCCTGCAACTGATTACTGCAAGGCCACTGCCTCTTGCCTTTGACATACTGTGGTAGGTTGTGTTGCCTGTGTTTGTGCTGTGTGTCACCAGACACAAATTTAAATCTTCCTCATGTAGTATTCTTAGAAAAACATCAGACCCACAAATGCAGATCCATCCCACTCTACCTAGAAGGTGGACTTCGTTCTTTCCTTCCTTCCACATTCTCATACTCTTTTCTCCTCTGCTCTTTAACGTCTTCAGGAAAAGGCACATCAGTGGCCGGGCACAGGCTCATGCCTGTAATTCCAGCACTTCTGAGAGGCCAAGGAGAGAGGATTGCTTGAGCCCAGGAGTTTGAGGCTACAGTGGGCCATGATCACAATACTGCACTCCAGTCTGGGTGAGAGAGCAAGACTCTATTTCAAAACAAACAAACAAACAAACAAACAAACAAACAAACAAACAAGCACTTCAGTAACTTTTCTCATAAGGCTTGTTGCCTTACTATCCAGAAGCATATAGTTAACAACATAAGCACAAAAAAAGAAGAAATAGACATAGTTTACTTGGTCACATAGGACAAATAGGTATTTTGAAATCTTTGAAATACCAGGCATCTTTCTCTTTACTATCTTATTGGAGAGAGTAAAGGTTCTGTCTGGACTTGGCATGCTCAGAGTGTGGCTCCTTATCCTTCCTCTTATCGGGCCAGAAGTCCTTGAGGAATTTATTTAACCTCTTGGAGCCCAAGATTATCCAGGGAAAAGGAGAACAAAAATACCTCTCTCTTAGGGTTGTAAAGATTAAGAGATAAAGTTTGTGATGTGTCTGGGACTCTTAATCCAAATTAAATTTCAAGAAAGGTTATGTTTAATACACACTGGTAAAAAAAAATAAAGACTATTCATGCTTGTAGGTGGGTGTTGAACAATGAGAACACATGGACACAGGGAGGGGAGCATCACACACTGGGGTCTGTTGGGATGGCAAGGGGAGGGACAGCAGGGGGTGCGAAAGTTGGGGAGGGATAACATGGGGAGAAATGCCAGATATAGGTGATGGGGGCATGGAGGCAGCAAACCACCTTGCCATGTATGTACCTATGCAACAATCCTGCATGATCTGCACGTGTACCCCAGAACCTAAAGTACAATAAAAATAAAATAAAGACCCTTTAGTTCTCAAGATCTTTTGTCTTGAAATTTTTCTATCAATAGTCACCCAAAAATGTATCTAACAAAATAATTATTGAGTGATTGATGTGGACCAGCCAGTATAAAATTTGATATCATTTCTTTTTATGGATTGGAGTTGAATATGCGACTTAGACTTATTTTGAAACCAAATCACGGGAACAGAGTCACCTTCATTAGACTCATGATATTTGTGCCCTTGTTGGCTGGTTTAGCATTCTCTGCTTGCTTACTGTGTTTGAAAAACCAGTCATGATTCATCGTATAGTCTCAATTGTCTTGAGAGCCCATTCATTTCAATGCAATCAATATTTATGTGCGACTTTCTGTGTGCAGAGGGTTGTACTAGACACCCAGAGACAGGGAGTGGTTAAAGAAGAAAGCATAAAACACTGTTCTGTTTCAAGGAACAGTAAATACGGCTGAGAGCCAAAGCATTGAGCAGATGACTAATAGAAAACAAGGAAGTGAATGCAATAAGCAAGTGATATGAAAATTATGGGAAGAGAGAGGTTCATGCTGTCTGGGGAAACAAATTAGTAGATGAGGTAGCATTTCTGCCTAACCCTGAAGAATGAGCAGGACCTGGCCTGGGAAGATGGGAAGAGAGAGACACCAGTGTAGACAAACAAGGTAAGCGTCTATTAATACATTGCCATATTCAGGGAAATAGTGAATTTGGCTAAAGTTATAGCTTTGGAAGCACAGAATCACTAAATTTTATAGCTGGAAGGGACCCTAGTATCCAATCCACTCATTTTAACAGCAAATGTTCAAGAAAAGGACAGAGATATGTTTAGAAAGGCATGCTGGATTAATTCATGGAGAGCCTGGAATGTCATTTGAAAAGTCTGGACTTCATATCACAGGTGATGGATATTTTCCAGAGGTTTTGGAGTAGTGGAGTTGAATGCATTTATAGCCCTTATTTCTGCTTTGGATCCTTCTATAGCAGTGGTTCTCAAAGCTGGACCAGTATCTGGAAAGTTTGTTAAAATACTGATTGCTGGCTCCCAAATCTAGAGTTTCTGATTCAGTAAAGTCTAAGCGGGGCCCAAGAATCTGCATTTCTAACAGGTTCTCAGGTGAAGCTGATGCTGCTGGCCTAAATACCATTTGAAGAACCACTGCTGTATTGTATTCTATTGGTTCTCAACTGTGGGTGTTCATTCAGATCACCTGAGGAGCTTCCAAAACATACTCAGACCTGGGCCCTGCCTCAGACCAGTTGACCTGGAAGCCCTGATGATGGAAAACAGGCGGAGGTCATTTTTCTAAGCTCCCAGGTGATACCCCAGGTCAGCACTTCTCACATTGTCTTGTGCATAGAATTTTGTCAAGATGCAGGTTCCTTTTCGGTAGGTTTGGGTTGAGACCTGAGGTTATGCATTTCTAACGAGCTCTCAGCAGATGCCAATGCTCCTGGCCAGTGGACCACACTTTGAGCAGGAAGGCTCAAGGAAATTCAATATTCTTCTTTTTTCGTCTTACTTTTCTCTCCAAGTTTCCATTCAGTGGTTGATTCAGTCTCTCTGCCCCCAGTACAAGGTCCCAATGCAATGCTGCCCCAACGCACTATCCTTGAACCTCAATTTCAATTATGCCTCAGAAAAACATCAGACCAGGCCAGGCACGGTGGCTCCCATTTGTAATCCCAGCCCTTTAGGAAGCCAAGGCGGGCGGATCACTTGAGGTCAGGAGTTCGAGAACAGCCTGGCCAACATAGTGAAACCTTATCTCTACTAAAAAAATACAGAAATTCTCCTGGCGTGGTGGTGTGTTCCTGTAGTCTCAGCTGCTTGGGAGGCTGAAGCACGAGAATCATGTGAACCTGAAAGGCAGAGGTTGCAGTGAGCTGAGCTTGCACCACTGCCCTCCAGACTGCGCAGCAGAGCAAGACTCCAGCTCAAAAAAAGAAAGAAATCAGACCAACTTGGGATTTGGTCAACCATTTAGTTGACATGGACATGGAACTCTGGGCAGATGCTGATGCAATGCCTTTGAGTGTGCCCCCCCGCCCCACAGCACGCGTCCTTCTGTCCCCATCAGCTCCTGCACTTGGTGCTTGGCAGGCCACCCACACACCTTCATCGAACCTCTTCCTTACAAGCTCCTGAGCTCCGCCTGCCCACCTTCTCTCAGCAACTTGCATTTTTTTTTTTTTGCACAAATTACTCTTTTTTATAAGCATAATTCCCAAAGAGAGAATAAGAAGCTTTCTGGCATATCTATTAATCATGAAGGAGATTGGAAGCTATGAATAAGGAAAGGGAGAAAGAGACCTATAAACTAAATAGAAAATGCCCCTCTGAAATGAGGCTTCTCCGACAGCACTGCGCCTGCCCCCCCACCCCCACCCCCAAGACCTGCACTCCTGTCCCTTACCTTGGATGCCTCTTCCCTTTTCTTGTGTGTGTGTGTGTTGGGGTGGAGGAGGGACTGGGTAGGCAGGGGAGCAGAGAGACTTTCCCCCTTTTATTTCTTCCTGTGAATTCTGACAATGGTTTGAAATGCTCTTGCCTAGAAAACTGTGCTTGGAGGAGTGAAAATGAAAATATTTCAAGGTTGTAAGGCGAATCGTCCTCTCCTACAACCTTGGGTAGAACACCCAAATTATTTCGATTAAAGGAAGATATCTGAGTACAAGCCGCACTGTGCAGTTACTGAACAAAGAAAGAAAACAGTAATTGTTTTGCTAAGCTGTGTTTATATGAACAAAAGCCTCAGAGTTTAGCCCTTGAAATTCTTCATGGGACCTTGTAACATCCCCAGTTAGGAGGGGGAACTGATAATGCGTTTACTGATTCTATGTGGGTGAGGACATTTTTGCAAGGGTTCCAGGGGTGACTTCCAAATGGACATGAACATAGACACATGCAGAGGCTGCAGGAATTCAGGCCAATTGTGATACTCTGTGATACTCACAAATTTGGGTCACTCTCTCAATTAGTTTAGCTCCTCATCTGTGTGAGTACAGAAACAAAAGCTACTTGGAGGCCTTGTGGGTTGGCAGAGCATCTTAAAATACCCTCCTAAAGAGGCAGAGCTGCAAATTCAAAACAGACTTTCAAAATAAACTCAGCAGGGCAGCACTCCGGGGGTGCTTCCAGAGCCAGCCCCCACCTCCACCCCCAGTTCTCAGTTCTAGGTATCTGAAACTGCAGTACCCTTAGCTGTTACAATCCTCCTCTCCCCCAGGAGCCTGATGCTCCCTGGAGGAATCAATCATTCTGCAATACATCTGAGATTTCTACCAGTCCAGATGCAAGCTTTCACAAACCCAACACACCCGCCGTCTTCTGTGAGTCATTATTCATCTTTCCATTGTGGTGGAGGGCATTAGGTATACTTAGTGGGCACTCGAATAAGTGGTCATGTGAAAAGTCAGGCATTTGACACATGCGGTTGGATCAGGACTTTAATCTTGGAAGTCATCTGAGACATGGGGTGTTGTGCCATAACAAGGACAATTCTCTTAGAACTAAATCCAAATTCTGTCCTGTTTGTCTCAGGCGTTTCTGTCACCAGAGCAAACTTTTTATGCTTTGGAGCATAAGCACATATCATCTGTTGTGCTTTAAAGTGGGTGTTTTTTTTTAAAGGAGCTAATTCGGTTGTGCAATACCATCAAGAGGCGCCACTTGTAAATTATATTTAGGTGTGTGTGTGTTCCTCCCCTCGCGGCACTGATGAATCATATCCATCTTCGTGTCATTATGTAACTCTACACTTGCAAGAAGGACTGCAAGCCCCTGCCATACACCAGAGGCTCCTGCCCATCTGCACTCCACCCAGCAGGAGGGTCTCTGCTCTTTCAACACCAGCCATGGCCTCTTCGGAAAAGTAAACAGAGTGACCAACATGTCCTCTGTTCCCAGTTTTAATTAAAGGTCCCGTGTTCAAATGGGATCAGGTGGCCACACTACCTGGCCTGACTCTCTGCCCATTTCTGGCCTCAGGCGCTGAGGGTGTGGACATTAGCACTGGTCCTATGGGCTTTGGATTCCATCTAGGCCTCTCTGTTCTAACAAAAAATCTAGAAGATTCCATGCACTAGAGGCAGAAGGAAAGCCTAGGGTACAACAAGATCTGCTGTGGGCATGGAGAAGAGGACAGCACTCCCCTTCCATGTGGAAGTATGGACAGGTGCAAAGGTGTTCCCTGTGCCAAAGGAAACAAGGGCCCTACGAGTGAAAGGTTCCTATTTCTATTTCATGGCAGTAAGAATGAAGCCAAAAGTCACGTGTTTGCAGGGAAGAACACAGGCTTTGGAGCCAAACTAGGTTTACATATTAGTCATGTCACTCATTTATTCTGTTTCTGGGACAAATTATTTAGTCTCTGTCAGCCTCGGTTTCCTTGTCATTAAAATAGAAACCCTAAGTCCTAGACTGAAACTTCAAGATAGTATTTTCTATATTAAAAGACCATCAAGTTCTGATTTGGTCCTCCTAGACTTCAGAATAAGGGAGTAACCTTGGCTTTTTGACCAGGCTTGTTTAGCCTCTAGAATCTCCCTCCTTTTTCCCTCCTCCTGCCCCACCCTGCCATCTCTTGCAAATCTAATGTGCTTTGGCATTCGCAGTTGTTACTCTGTGTGCTCATTAAAGCAAAACAGCTGCCATAACAATCAACCCCCAAACTTCAGTGGCTTATTGCAATAGAAGTTCTCTCAGAAGTTTGATGCAAGTAGGGAATGGAGTGCTCAGCTCCACATGGACATTCAGGGACCCAGGAACTCGATCGTCCTCAGCACATGGCTTCTAAGATAGGGTGAAGGAGGTACATCCACTTGTCTTGGAAGGGACACATATCACTAGAGTTCATTGAAAAAAAAAAAAGGCAAACTCTGTATAATGTTGGAAGAGATTAATTATGGTCCAAATGTGAGTGACTGGCCCTTGACACAGGCTCAGGAGGTCCTGAGAATATGTGCCCAAGGTGTTTGCGTTACAGTTTGGTTTTATACATTTTTAAGGAAACAGAAGTTATAGCACAGACATAAATTAATACATGTTAGGTATACATCGTTTTGGCCCAGAAAGGGAGGATCTTTGGGTGAAGGATGGGGTACCTCACAGGTCATAGGTGGATTCAAAGATTTTCTAATTGGCAACAGGAAAAAGTTAAGCTTTTCCTAAAGAATTGAAGTCAGGAGAAAGAAATGTTTGAGTTAAGGGCGGTTACGGAAGCCAAAGTTCTTGCTGTATACATGAGGCTCCCAGGTAGCCGACTTCAGAGAGACTAGATGGTAAATGTCACTTATGTGACCTTGAAAGATGTCGGACTCTTAGTTACCTCTCCTGGATCCTGGAAAGGGAAGAGGATTCTCTGCAGAAAGCAAGTTTCCCCCACAATTTGCATGGCCATTTCAAAATATGTCAAAAAAATACATTTTGCAGTAAAGTACTTCGATTTCCTTCAGGGTCTTGGGATACCATACCAGAGTCAGGTTGGAATTTTGTGTCTTACTGCTGCTAAGAGTCTGTGTTGTCAGTCTTAGAATCTCTGCTTTACTGTTCACCCTGGATAGTTGTGCGTGAATTCCAGAGGGAGGGGATATAATGAAGCATGCCCGACCCCCACCCTCAAGCCTTCTCTCAGGTCCTGATCTAGTTTTTCAGGTTTCTTTAGGATCCTATTGGCCAAGGGAGTGGGGGTTGGGGTGTCCATTCAGCTGGTTGTGGGCCTTAGAATTTTGCTTTTGGTTTACAATTTTGCTTTTGGTTTTCAGCTGGAGAAACTAGTCACACGGCCCCACCTACATGCAAGAGCGTCCAGTTGTGCAACCACTCTCCACTCTCCAGCCACTATTCTGACTAGGAATTGTCCTTTCATGTCCTAACTCTTTCAGACTTCTAGAATGTGTGGGGCACTGTGCTGGGCATTCAGAATAAAAAAAACACATGATTAAGACACAGCCCTTATAACGTTCCCACAGAGTTGACAAGAATTGCATACTTGGTTCTGGACAGAACAATAGTTAAATTAATCAGGTTGTACTCTGGCCCACTTCCTTCTTGCTGAAAGTCACATGGTACTAGATGCTATTTGCATACCTTAGTTCCTATGGATGGGATTTCTGACATTAGAGTCATAAGACTGCTTAAGAATTGAGTTGCATTCCCATTGTTCCTATAGACAGGATCTCTGAGATTAGAATCATATAAGGCTTTTGTTTCAGGGTCCATTGCTTAAGATGTTTTTCAGACCCTGAATTCCAGCAACCAGTTTGAGACTCCCACAGAGGAATGAGATCAGCATGAGAACACAGCTTCTTCCCCTCCCTGTCCCATGTCTTCACCCTGCACTCTTCCACAAATCCACCATCTCCACCCTTCAGCCCACTCCAGCTCTTAAAACCTCTAGCCCCCTATTCCTCAGGGAGACGGATTTGAAGTTCTCTCCCTCCTCCTTAGTCAGTGACCCTACAGTTAAGCCTCTCTCTTTACTGCAACTTGGTATCGCTGCATAATGACTTGCTGTGTGCATCAGGCAATGAACCTATTATGGTTACACCCATACCTCCAAGGAACTTGCCTTATTTATTAGTAAACTACGAGCCTCTCCATACTGCTCTTCCTTGGCTTGCAGCAGTTAAGAGTCAGCCTTTTGGCATGTCTTTTGATGTATGAGATAATGAATACAGAGTACGGGGGGAAAGAAAATCAGCTAGTAACCAAAGTTAAAGCTGAGAGGGATCTTGGAGGTCATCTGTGCAACAACAAAAATATTTTGTCCATGGATAGGAAACATGAGACCAGAAAAATTTAAATGACTTGCCCAAATTCTTCCAGCTGATTAGTGCAAGAATCAGGTTAAAATCCTGCTCCTTTCATCTTCCAGTCTTAAACACTTCCTAATATGTTGGGATCTTTCTGATGACTGTGCAACATGTAAGAGTTTATGAGCTCAGTCCTGTTTTTGTATGTGTTTAGGCAACCGGAGCTAATGGTGAGACCCAATGTGGTGCGTTTTATAGATGACACTCACCTTTTGTAGTCAACATTCACCATTATACACACAGAACATGCGGACATCATTGCTTTATTGGGAAATTATGTTGTCTCTTTGAAGTATGATCTTTGCCTCTTTGAATTCCTGCTGCATTCAATAACACCTCAGCTCACGTGCCTAAAACCTGTCAAGTTCACCTCAAGTAATAATATCTATCAGGTTTCGTTTGTCCTATTGAAGCCTAATGAGCCTCAAAAGTTTGAACAATGCCCAAAGCCAATGGCCATATATAAAAATTGGTTTAGCTTGTACTTAAATGCATAATTATTGTGACCTCTCCCAGAGGGCCCAAGTGTATGAGTACAAATGGCCAAGTCAGTATGATCTATCAGCTCTGGTTATATTGGCATGATCAACTTTGACACAGAGATATAAGGGGCATTTGGGAACTTTTAAGAGTGAGTAGTAAACCTGATCTTCAAGTCCCTGGTCAAGGTGTATATCCAGTATGTAAGGTAGTCATTTTTCTTAATGGAGATTACCTTTCATGGAGATGCTCCTGACCAGAAAACTTTTACCTGCAAGAGCTCTCAGACTGAAGTCCACTTCTCAAATACACACTGACCTATGAGCCTGGAAGTCAGGCTGTTCCTGAGGATTGCAAATTTCCTTTCTGAAAAGTAGGAGTAGTGGATAAATTTGAGTCAAGTGAGGAAAAATTGTTTCCCAAGGTATAAGTAAGCTCCTTGAAGGTAAAGGCCATGTCTGACATGTCTTCTTAATGTCCTAGTCTAGAGCTGTTCAGAGAATTCCACTTCTAGTCCTCATGAATCTGGCAATTGAGACCTTGGAGAAGCTTGGTAAATGGCTCTGAGACTAAGGAGAAACTATATGCTCTGCAATTCTGAAGCTGCTCTTGTCAGACGGTAGGTTTATGTTGTATCAGAGCACATGACAGTGGCCTCTCTCTCTCTCTCTCTCTGTCTCTCTGTCTGTCTCTCTCTCTCTCTCTCTCTCTGTCTCTCTCTCTCTCTCTTTCTCCAAAGTGACCATATCCAACTGGGAAAGGCTAGAAACTCTAACCTATTCCCCAATATGAAGATGTATGTGTTTCTGGTCATGTGACTGCACTTAAATTCCCTGGAGAGTCTCTGATTCTACTGCAGTCTACAATTCATGCACTCAGCTGTTCAGCTGAAAGAAACAGGGCTGGGTGGGAAGACTGATTTCTTAATATATAAATAAAATGAAGTTTTTCTACTGTCCTAGACTGGGAAATTTTACCAACAACTAAGTATTTGCCTATGTTTCTCCAGAATGCTACTGAGACACTGATTTATCTTCTACAGGCATGTTTTAGATTGTGCTGAAATGGCTAAGTTTTCCCTAAGTTGGCAAAAAAAGAAATCCATTCCATGTGGCTGGAATCAGGCCCACTGAGATTTTCACCAAGGGCAAAAATACCTTGCATGTGTATCAAAAGCAGTTGGATGAAACTGGCTCTATTTTTCTCCAGCAACACCATCAGACTAACGGCATTCCAGCCAATTCGTTGGCATGGTTCTCTTTGGTGTGCATCAGAAGGCCCAACTGAAGCTGGACTCAAATTCCTGTCCTCTTCTTCTGGATTCTAAATCTGAAGACCTCATACTACTGTTCATATGGTCATTCAGCAAAGGTTTATTTTGCGCTTACAGTTCATGGGTCACTGTGTTGGGCATTAGGAATTCAAAGATGAGTAAGACATGGTCTTTATATTTAAAGTGCTCACCTTCATGTCTAGAGAAGGAAGCAAATATCTTCCTAGATTGTCCTCATTTTGGGAGAGAGATCAACCTCACTTAGAATGGTATGCAGTGCTGCCCTACTGTACACCTCTGGTGGGGTTATGCATCTGATATTCTACGTGACTTACAGCCCATAGGAAACTGTGTCAACAATACCCTGGAGATGTGCAAAGAAGCTGCTCTGAGAGGGGTCCCCAAAAGGCTTCCTAGAAGATGAGACACTTGGGCTTTGAAAAGATGAGTGATGGATGTTGCAGAGAATAACCCAAGCAAAGGAACACAACTATGTAACTATCAATAAGCAAAGTCAGAATTCAGTGGACAAGTCCGGGCGCGGTGGCTCAAGCCTGTAATCCCAGCACTTTGGGAGGCCGAGGCAAGTGGATCACGAGGTCAAGAGATTGAGACCATCCTGGCCAACATGGCGAAACCCCATCTCTACTAAAAATACAAAAATTAGCTGGGGGTAGTGGCACGCACCTGTAGTCCCAGCTACTCAGGAGGCTGGGGCAAGAGAATTGCTTGAACCTGGGAGGCTGAGGTGGCAGTGAGCCGAGACAGTGCCACTGAACTCCAGCCTGGTACCTGGCGACAGAGTGAGACTCTGTCTAAAAAAAAAAAAAAAAAAAAAATTCAGTGGACAAGAAGTGTGGTAAGTGCAGAAGGAGGCAGAAGCCAGATAGCAAGTGTCTTGCACGCCATATCAAGGAGTTTGAAATGCATCTGTCTAGTGCTAGAAAGACTCTTTACAGGGCTTTAACTGTGACTTGTGTTTTTGAATGTTCACTTTGAAATCAGTGTGGAAAATGAACTTGTTTATGAAAGGATTAAAGGGGTGGGCTGGAGAACAGGGAGATTAGTTAGGAGGCTATTGAAATAGCCCAGTAGAGAAGTGATGGAAATTTGAGTTAAGATAATGAGTTGATTAGTACTCCCCTCCGGGGAGGGCCAGCGGGGGGAGGAGCTGGGAAGGGATAGCCTGGGGAGAAATGCCAAATGGGTGAAGGGGAGAAAGGAAGCAAAACACACTGCCACGTGTGTACCTATGCAACTGTCTTGCATGTTCTGCACATGTACCCCAAAACCTAAAATGCAATAAAAAATTTAAAAAAAAAAAGATAATGAGTTGAAAATTGATTCAAGCCTTTAGGAGGTGAAATTCACGGTCTATGTGACTAGTGAGGTGTAAGAAATAAGCAAAGTGAGTTGCTGGGATTGAAAACCCTATGGGTGGATGACAAATCATTTAACTGGGGCAAAGGACCAAGAATGAAGGTTCCCTGGGTAACAGAAACCATGAGTTTGGCTTTTGAATATGTTGAGTTGGAAATTGGGACCACCAGGAGGGCTGCAGAGACAAGTCTGGAGTTAAAGAGAGAGGTCTAGGCCACAAAAAGCAATTTAGAACAATCAGTGTTTAGGACACGGTAGAAGATACTCTCCTAAATTCCTAATTTATTCCCTTCTCTGCACTCTAAAATGACCTCTGATGAACTTTCCTGATGATTTAGCTTTTTCAAAGCCGCCCCTGGCAATCTATTCAGTCTTAACTGTCAGATAGAATGACTGCTTCCATGGCCCTCTACTTGGTTTTTGCAACTCCAAGCCCCTTTCTGAGGTCTCTCTCTCCCTTTCGCTGTTTCCCTGATTGCTTCTAGTGACACACTTGAATAGACTTTCTCCTGGGCTCTGGCACATCATAATGCAGCAAAAGATCAAAAAGTTGCATCTGCCACTCTCCCACTTTTGAGCTTGTGGTCTTGAGTAAATTATTAAACTTCTCTGAACCTCAGTTTACTTATCTTTGCAAGTGACTCCAGTAAAAATCTGAGAAATGAAGATTTTTGAAGTTAAAATGAGATAGCATATAATAACATAAGCATGCCATATCAATAGATGCTCCACACATTGTTTATTCGTTCATCAGTTTTAAAAATCAGAATCTATTAGAGTTGAAAGAAAACTTAGAGACCATCTCACCTCATTCTATCACATTCAAGAGAGAACTGGGTCCCAGAGAATGAAAATGATCTGATCAAGTTTCCGTAGCCAGTTAGTGACAACTCTGGCCTTCACATTGTCTTGTTTAATATTATACTGTGCTCTTATCTTCCAAGTTTTCTTTTCAGGGGATCTATGTCCCCATATATCAGCACAGCTATATTGGGCTGCTTGCAGAAGATGAGAAGAGGAAGGCTGTATTAGTTATCTCTCATGGCACAACAAATTCCCACTAAATTAGTGGCTTAAAGCAGCACATATCTACAGTCTCACAATTTACTGAATCAGAAGTCTCAGCACAGCTTAACTGGGCCCTCTGCTCAGCTCTCACAGGGCTGTAATTAAAACATTGGCTGGGCCATGTTCTAATCTAGCAGCTTGACCAAGGGAAAATGCAACTTGCAAACTCATGGTCAGATTACTGACAGAATCCATCTCCTTATGGCTGTAGACTGGGTGGCCATTTTCTTGCTGGTTGTCAGTTGGAGCGGGGCACTCACTCTGGATGCTATCGGTCCTCTGACTGGTTCTCCATGATGTAACATCTGATTTCATCAAAGCCAGCAAGAGCATGTCTCTTTCTCTGTCTACTTGCAAGTCATGTATACATAGCGATGGGACATCATTATGGGAGTGACATCCCATCTCCTTTGCCATCTTCCATGGGTTGGAAGCAAGTCGAAGTCCCCCAGCCCTAAGGGGACAAATCACACAGGTCAGGACACTGTGGGCCAGAGACCCTGGGTGGGGGGCACCTCAGAATTCTGCCTTCTGCAGATGCCATGGTAGATTTCATTGTGAGAGTGTCACGGAGCACAGTCCGGCTAGTGCTCAGTCTCCTCTAATCACAACTCAGTAAGCAGCACTGCTTTCAGGAAAGCTGCATCTGCAAGGGCTCTGAAATGAGCGTGAGAGCAGAGCATGGTGTGCTCAGGAGACGCTGTCGGGCCCAGAGTGACACCACAGGTCAGAATGGTGCTAGTGCCAAAGTGCATGTGTGTATGTGAATGTGTATGTATGTGTGTGAATAAGTATAAGTGTGTATATGTGTGCATGTAAAGTGTGTGCAGGTGCATGCATGTTTATACGTATATCAAGTGTCAGGGAGCCCTTCCTGGAAGCTCATCAAGTGACTTTGCCTGCTATTTGGTATTTTCTGGAGTGGCTCTTTCCAGAATTGTTGGTATACTCTGTGACATGAGTCACGCTGCCTCTTTATTAAAAATCCATCTTCTCCAGCTGAGGCAAAGCAAATATTTACCCACATCTAACTCTGGTCCCAGCCTTGGCAATTGTCTGTGCTTCTCCATGGAGCTGTCCATACCCTCAGGCATGGCTAAAGGAAGAAGACATTCTGCTTTTCCTCAAGTTCCCTGGAGACAGAAAAATCAGAGGCTTTCTCTGCCTCCAGGCCCCTGCCTCCAGTGAATCCTGTCCACCACCTGCCAAGTCTTCTTGGAAGTCTGCTTTCATCACGCCACTTGCTTGATCAGGGTGTTCAGTGGCTTCTTCTGCCTAACGTCCACATGCATGACCTTATCCTTTAAAGTCTGCCAAGCTTGTAACCCTTCCGTTCCCCACCTCCCCCATACATACTGTAATTCCCAGTGCTACTCAGCACCCACTCCAGAGAGGCCAGGTATGTTAAGACTGAATGATGCCAGCTGCCGTATATCTGCTAGTGTGGTTACACTGTCCCTGTCCCACTTCCACCCCATCATAGTCCCCTTCTCACAGTATCCCCCATTAAAGGCATAGGCTTTCTAAGCCCACCTGAAATCTCACTGCATCCCTGATTATACACAGCAGCAAAGCAAATATTTATCTGCCTCAGTTTTGACCTCTCTTAGCATTTGAGAACTGAACTCGAGTGACTGTTTAAGGCAATCTGTTGTGTTGTGTATTGAATTATTGGATCCTTGCATGAGAGTGTGTCTTGTTACTCTAGTGAGGTTATAAGCCTCTTAATGATGGCCGGACGTGGTGGCTCACACCTGTAATCCCAGGGACCTTGGGAGGTCAAGACAGGTGGATCACTTGAAGTCAGGAGTTCGAGACCATCCTGGCCCTGGTGAAACACTATCTCTACTAAAAATACAAAAACAAAAGCAAAAAAGCTTGACCAGGTGTAATGGCATGCATCTGTAGTTGCAGCTACTCAGGAAGCTGAGGCAGGAGAATTGCTTGAACCCAGGAGACAGAGGCTGCAGTGAGGTCAGGTGGCAATACTCCTCTCCAGCCTGGGCAACAGAGTGAGACTCTGATTAAAAAAAGAAAAGTCTCTTAAAGATAACATTTACATTTTTCCACTTTTTCTTTCTCTCTCCCTCTCTTCCGCCTTTTCATTTCATAGTGTTTACAATTTGGACTTCAGGCCTAGATGGACCTGATTGAAATCTCAGCTCCACCACTTTCTACCTGCAAGAAACCTCTGTGGTCTTCATTTTTCTTATGCTTAAGTGAGGATAACTACCTCATATTGTGGTTGACGGAAGCCAGAGAAATAACATAGGGAAAGAAATCCCTGACACATGGTGAACATTCCATTAATGAAAGATATAATAGAATCCTTCATTTCACATTAATGAACATTTCTGTTCAATCCAGCAAGAAACAGCTGAGCACCTTCCCTGAGCCCGGAACTGGGCTTAGGTGATGGAAAGAGATCAATAATAAAATGATTATGTTTCGATGGACTGTAGCGGCTAGCAGCTCCTAAGGCTTCCAGGAGTCGGCAGAATGTATGACCAGAAGTCGTAAAGAGACCAAAATAGTTAGTGATTCTTAAAAAAAAAAAAAAAAAATAGAAAGAAACCCCTCACAATGAATCATTACTTTCAGATAAGCCTTTCCGTTGGTAGGTGTGCCAGCAGACCTGTAAGCATTCATGGTGAGAGTGGCATAGGACTCCCACCCACTGGTTTCCCCCACTATCCCCTGCTCCATGCAAGGCTGTTAAAAATGGAAATAGGGGCTGCCTCTGTAAAACAGGTGACCAGATGGTGCTGTTTTGATGAGTTGTTAATGAGATGAAGATGGATGCCTTCCCATTCTGCTGGAGGTGGGGAGAGGGGCTGATCACCTTCAATGTCCTCTTTCTCTCCTCCAAACCCTTCGCCCTCCCCACACACATTCTTCATGCTTTTCAGAGATGGGGGAAATGTCTCCTGACTCAAGTGCCTTCTAAAGCTCCTGGGAGACATTCACCTAAGGCTGGTAACTAAGGTTGGTAATGTCATAAGTGCCTAATAAATATCTGCTGACTCGTATCTCCTTCTTTTGAGGGCTGTATCCTATAGAACCTTCCCCAAATGAAGGCGATCAGCCTCCTGACAAGATCCTGCTGCACTAAAAGTTAAAAGCGGAACTCAGGAAAATGATCTTAAAGCTGCAGTGTGAATGTTTATTTGGTTGTTTTGCTCGAACGTGGGCTGTCTGAGGAGTTCAGTGCTTTTCTTTCTCCCTTTTGTGGGTGGCTCAATGAAATGGAAAAGCTTCAACTTTAATTCCTATCAGAGTAAAACTGTAAGTGGTAGAAGTTATTGGTTTTCCCTTTTATGGAATACAAAGTACCTTGATTATTGAAATGCAATACCACATTATGAAAGTCCCAAAGGAACAGGTTTCTTGTTTGAGAGGCACGCACTGAGACAGGAAGTCTAGTGCCAGTCATTGCAGAGGAGAAGGAGAGTGTTCCATTGCCTGCCAACCCCCCTGAGCTCCCTGCAGTGGGTACTCCCACATTCCTCCCTGGCAGTTGGCATCACAGCCTGTCTGGGCTGAGGAGTCATTCCATTGATGTTGGTGTGTGCCGTATGTCACCCATAGGCCTGCTGAATTCAGATAGTGCTCCCCAAGGTGCTTAGAGGAAAAGAGAGAGCTTCAGGCCCCCAGAATCCCCATGGTGGAGATGACCAAGAGACAATTCTGCATCTGGGAAGCTCCCAGCCTGTGCCACTGAGGGAAAGACAGTTTTCCATTCTAGCTCTTCTTCCATCTATCTCTGACCCATACTTGCTGTGTTAGTCTGTTTTCACATTGCTAT